TTGCAAGAATATTTTGCAAATGGTCATTTGAAGCACTTGATGTTTCTGGCATGATGTTTAGAATATTGTCTAATTTTAGTCTGTCAGTCAGTGATATTGAAAGGGATGAACTGTCTGTGTCTATTGTTTCGTTTTCCCTACTTTCTCTATATGAATTTAAATCCAGTTTAATTTTATAAATTTCCTATATCGTTTCGTACAATTTCTATTTTATATCCGTTCGCGTTTTCTAATTTAAAATTTCATTTCTTGCAATCCTGCTACAAGGAGTACACAAGAATATGAAATTCGTTTTTTTTAGTTTATTGTCGATGGCAATACTCATAAAATCACGGAGTATACCAACGCTTTAAAACAAACTTAGCCACACCCTATGAAGGTCGCCGTTCAACGTACGTAAAGTGGACTTATACTCTTGTTCTAAAGATTCGTAATTTTCTTTTATATACCTTACTGTTGGTCTGGATCGTAGTTCTGGATAATCTCGAACTCTGCTTCGTAGATTTGGATAACTCTCTGGATACCTCTGTAGATCTGGATAACTCTGGATACCTCTCTGTAGATCTGGATAACTCTCTGGATTCCTCTCTGTAGATCTGGATAACTCTCTGGATATCACTCTGTAGATCTGGATAACTCTCTGGATACCTCTCTATAGATCTGGATAACTCTCTGGATACCTCTCTGTAGATCTGGATAACTCTGGATATCACTCTGTTGATCTCTGCTTTTTCTTTACTTTCTCGTTCACTTTAGATAATCACTTTGTTTATCTGGAACTAACTCTGGGTTCTGGATACTTAAAATCTGGATGAACTTCCAAAATTTTTTGAATATCCTAGCGCTGCCACCAATTATGTTGTCGCCGTAAGAAACAACTAATATTATTATTTTTGGTGAGTTGGTTACTCAACTGAGAGCCAACTCTACTTTATTTATTTAACAAGTAAAAGTACAAAAACTTGGAGATAATCAATCCTTCCAATTCTTCACTGAGCCTTATTGGAAGACAAACGTGCTATCACTTTGAGTAGCGACTAATTAATCTGACCACACCTGCTTATGCTTTAGTTTTAAAGGACTGTGAACTCGTCCCCACTCTTTACAATACACACTCATACTTCATACTGTCGACAATATTAACAAATAAAAAAATTATTTAAAAAAATTCAAAAAAAAAATTTCTGGATTTTAAAAAATTGTATAAAAAAATATTTTGTAGATATTTTTGAAAATTCTTGTGTCAGATTTTAGGTATTAATGACTGCAATAAACCTGCAAAATTTCAGAACAATTCATCAAAATTTGTCTGAGATAATTTGTACACAATATTTGTGACATACACACACACATACACATACACACACACATACATACACACACATACATCTGGACATTTGCTCATAATTGAATATACACATATGTTCTAGATGAAAATGAGTCCATATAACCTTCTTTTGAAAAATTAAAAATCGTCACCAATGCAAAGCTTCCTTATGAGGAAGCAAAAGAATTCAATTATTTAAAAAAACTTAATAAAATTCTTTTCGAAAATTCAAATAAATTGAATAACAAAACTTTCAGGTGAATTCAATTATTTTTGATAACATTTTTTATAAATTTATCAAAGAATATATAAATATTTTCAAAAGTTTTATTAAAATTCCTCGAAAGAAATTCAATTATTCTATGAAATATTTAATTTTGTATTTAAATAATTGGATTCTCGTAAAACTTTATAATATAAGAATTGAGTTAAAAATGGTTACGATAAAAATGTCGCCGGGAAATATAGAATAAAGTTATTTACGATTTTTGTGAATCGACTAAAACGAGTTTTTTAGTTTGTCATATTTAATTTTTCGACAGCTACTTTTTTAGTCTTAAAGCTCCTTATTTAAAATTAATTATAATATTATATAATTATATATATTACATTCCATTAATTATTTATTATCTACTATATTAATTATATATAATTAATATATTTAAATATTCGTTAGAAGAAACAATTTTTACTTAAAATTAACAAAGGCCAACATTTCTTAAAATTAAATTTTTTTAATAACAGTTGTTTTAATAACAGTTATAATAATAACCCTATAACAGTTGTCAAATTTGGCCTCATCAATTTCGAGTAGTAAATATTATTTATTGACAAAAGACCGATTGTAGTTGGTGTATTCAAAGGAGGACATAAACCTTCAAATGCTCACGACTTTTATGACCCTTTTATCACGGAAGTCCAAGAAGTAATTGTAAATGGTGGCATCGAAATTAAAGGTCGACGACTTCCTTTACGAATAAGATGTTTTATTGCAGATGCTCCAGCTCGCGCTTTGGTATTAAGGGGCGAAACCTAATTGTAACTTTCAAAAAATTTATTTTTTATTTTTTCCATTTTCTTAAAGTATATATATTTAGAAATTTTTTATTATTTTTTCTATTATTATATGACTCTTTGTGACTTTAAAAAAAATTTCTGCCTAACAGAAAAAAATAAATTGAAATTTTAAATGGGTTTTTCTCAAAATCACATTTTTTATGATTGCGTGCAGTCTAACTTAAACAAATATTTACCGATTATAATGGGATTTGGAAGTTTTATTCTTTATAAAATTACAAAGAATATGAACCACCATTTAAGCTGATATCACGATTTTAAGGATGTTTTTTTGTGTAATTAGTGAAAAAAAATTGTGAAAATTCAAGAAAAAATTTCAAACACCTTTAAAATTAAATTTTTTTATTATTTTTACCTAAAATGAGGTTCATATTCTTAGAAAATAAGTTAAGAATGTAAGAAATTTTTTTTTTAATTTTAGTTAAAAATAAAAATTGCTACACGTCACGCAAGTCGAGAAAAAATATCAGGACCATCAGTAATTACGACAGCATATCTGCCTTATTTCTGGTTAAAATAAATCAAAAGAATTTATAAACATTGTTCAAAACAATAATAAAAAGATGTCTAAATGTAATTGAATTTTAATTTATATTTCCCCCCTAAAAATTTTTTTAAAAAATCCATAAAAATGAGCCACCTAATGTGGTTTCCCCCCTTAAATCACTTTGGACACAACTCATATTTTCCTTGTTCAAAATGTAATGTTGAAGGATTTCATGATGGTCAAATGTTTTATCTTAATATTCGAAACCAACCCCGTACAAATGATCAATACAGAAACTATAGTGATGAAGATCATCATCGTGGTCCAAGTCCCCTATCACGTTTACCAATCGATTTGGTTACCGATGTGCCATTTGAAGTCTTGCATCTAGTCTATCTAGGAAATGTAAAGAAGGTGATTCATGCACATGCAACTGGGACGTTTTCACCATGTGGTAAATTAAATGTTCGAAAATAAGAAATTCTTAATTCAAGGATGATTCAGCTCAAAGAATATTTTCCTTCAGAGTTCAATCGTCAACCAAGAGAAATGACAAAATACAATCAATTCAAAGAAACAGAATTACGTCAATTTTTGCTATACTCTTTTTCGGCTGTTTTCTTGAATGTTGTGGATGAAAAATATTATCTCCATTTTATGATTCTGCATTGCGTGATGCGTTTACTCGCTTCTGAAAATATGCCCGATTTTTTGTACGACTTTTGTCAATCATCTCTTGAAAGTTACGTTCGCTTGTGTGAAGGATTGTACGGAGAAAAATTTTATTCATATAACATTCACGGATTGTTGCATGTTGTAGAAGACGCACGACGTTTTGGTCCTATTGATAGTTTTAGCGCATTTTGCTATGAAAACAATATGCCTTTTTTTAGAAAATACGTACGAAAACCTCATCTTCCACTTCAGCAAATTTGTAAACGAATGTTTGAATTGAATGATTTTTCAAGTGTGTCAAATCAAGACGAAGTAGAAATTATACCGTCAATGAAACATACAAAAGGACCTCTACTTGATAATATTCCACGAAATTGCATACAGTTTGAGAAATGTGTCATTAATAAACGTGTCTTTTCCACACAGATGCGTAATAATTGTTTCATTTCAAGGAATGATAAAATTGGATTAATAAATATATAATAACATTCCAAGGGATATAGCTATTTAATTTTTTTTAAATATGATTAATAATTCTTTTTGTGCTTTAAATTATTAAGAAAAAGTACTATTTATTTTTAGTATGTTATTTTTTACGAGTAATAGATTTAATGATAAAATATTAAAATATTTCTTATGTGTACATGTATAAACATGCATGCCACAAATTACTTCAAAAGTTATATTATGTCTGGGCAGATATATTTTTCATAAAATAAAAACACTTCAGTGGGAAACCTAAGTAACTCATGAAAAATAAGCGTATTTTTAGGAATTTTTTTGGCTCAATGAAATAGGTAATAAAAAATCTGTGAAATACGTTTGATTGATATGAGTATTCACATTCAAAATATGTATATATCTTTTTAAAAATTTTATTACAAAATGGCGGTTGTGTATCATTTTTTTAAAAGGCGTCTTTTTTTAAGGGTTCCATGGCCAGACAACTATCGTTCTTAATTTTCGATCTGCAAAAAAAACCAAAATGTTTTCATTTTCTATACATCAACAGCTATCGACTTACGTAAGATTTTTTCGATATTTTGGTATTTCGCGAAATGGTTCGTGATTGAACAAAAAAGTGCCCATTTGAAAAAGAATCAAAAAATTGTTGAAAAAAATAAAAGTAAATAATATAAAAAAATCCTAGGTGTCGATAGCTGTTGATGTATAGAAAATGACAACATTTTTGTTTTTTTAGACCAAAAATTAAAGACGTTGTCTGGCCATAAAATCCTAAAAAAGACGCTTTACAATAAAATGCTGTATAGCCGCCATTTTTTAATAAAATTTTATAAAAAAAACTTATTTTAGACATCAATACTCATGCAATAAAACGTACTTTACAGATTTTTGATGCCGATTTCATTGAGAAAAAAATTCCTAAAAATATGCCTATTTTGTCGTAAGTTACTTAGGTTTCCCCTCTTAACTATTTTTATATTGAAAATTAATATATATACATATTTTATTATTTTCCAGTGAAAAAGGATGGCGCCCAAGATTCAAAAGCAGTTTGAAGGCCACGGAGCAAAACCACAAAAATCATCCAAGCCCTCAAAACATACAAGCTATGCATCAAACGGAAGACTAGTTACTGCTCCAAGAAGATATTGGACTTTATCGGATGAACCGTCTCGAAAAAGGCTAAGAAAATCGCTCAACTCTGTACACAACGAGATACAAGCTTTAAGTAGTGGTTATAAAGATAATCCCAAATTTGCTTCATTGTTGAAGTCGAGTGATAAATTGCTTATGGATTCGCATAAGCCAAAGTCTACACCAAAGAGTAATCAATCCTCATCTCAGATACAGCAAAATCAGAAAAAAAATTGACCAAGCCAAGTGTTAAAACATTCAAAAAAATTGCCTTTACCTAAAAATACTTCTCCGAGCACAGTATCACCATTGCCAGTAGATCCAAAAACTTCAAATGCAAAGATAACGGAAACTATCTCTGAGTCATCAAAAGATAATAGAAATTCACCATTACCTGATTTGCACAATGAAAACGGAGCTCCTAATACAAGCACCAAGAAAAATAAACCAAAGTCGTCTGACCAAAATCAAAATGTCCCGCCTGTTATTAAAATGAACAAGTAAATATTCATTATAACTTATTTTAGGATACTATATTTTTGTTCTTTTTAAATCAATGTATCGTTTATTTGTATTATAGTTTAATTTATTTTATTAATTTTTAGCTTAACCAATTTGTTTAGAAAAATTAACACTTTTTCAAAAAAAAGTATGGTGAAGGTTCAATATTGTTTTAGTTAAAAAAATAATACTGTTTTAAATTGTATAATGAATAAGTTACACTTATTATTAAACGCTTTTTTCTTTATTTATAAGATAGATATTTTTTAATTTTAAATCTTTTTGGTTATTACAGATATCTTCATGCTCTTCAAGCTAATGTGAACATTAATTCCGGAGTTCAAATTCCAGCTTGGGAAAGCAACATTTTAGTTCCCGAAAACGTTCTTCTCGACATTACAACCCGTTTACGGTAAGCCAATTATTAGCTCATATATATATATATATATATATATATATATATATATATATATATATATATATATATATATATATATATATATATATATATATATATATATGAGGCATTCTTTCTCAAGTGGGCCACCCCTTCTCTCCATTTCAAATTTAATCCAAAAATCTTTTATAATAGCTCAAATTAAAGGTAAATATGTCAGCTTTTCAATGCCGTTGGGCCCTTTTTGAAATATTAATTTCCTAATGAACTATATATAATTTAATGACAAAAAACACTATGACCAATTCTTTTTCATATTAAAAAAAGAAGAAAAACCCAATTTTAAAAATGCTACAGGGCCTACAACATTAAATTATATGATAAATTAACAAAATTTCATATTATTTCCTAAAATTAAAGATGGCAAATCTAATATGGCGCCCAAAATTAGAAAAATTTATAATTTTTGTTCAAACTCACCATAAAGGGGTTTTTGGGATCGCTGATGACGAATTTGGTGTTAGTTTCTTAAAATTCAAAATGGCGAATCCAAAATGTCGGACTTAGAAATTAAAAATCAATCGAATTTGACTAAAATTTGTTATTTGAGGGTTTTTGGGATCGCTGATGACGAATTTGGTGTTTATATTTCAAAATTCAAAATGGCGAATTCAAAATGGCGGACTTTAAAATTAATCGGATTTGCCTAAAATTTGTTATTTGGGGGTTTTTGGGATCGCTGTTGACGAATTTGGTGTTTGTGTTTCAAAATTCAAAATGGCGGACCTAAAAAATTAAAAATCAATCCGCTTTGCCTAAAACCTGTTTTTCGGGTGTTTTTGAGATCGCTGATAACGAATTTGATGTCTATGATTAGGAATTTGATGTCAGCTTTTGAGAATTAAATACAAATTGGACAAATTATCGTTATTTATTTATTTAAAAATCTAAGTTCTTTAGGGTTATTTGAGTATCGCTTTATTCATAATAATTTCTATACAAAACATAAAAATCAGCAGCAATCACATAGCTGGCAATTAATATTTCAGCGTTATTGCATTCAAAATATCGAATTTCTAATACTCAATATAGAATCGGCAATCCCAAAAATATCACAGTAATGAATTTTTAGCAAATCTGATTAATGTTTCATATTACGTTAACTATATTAGATCCATTATATTGAATTCTGAAAAGCTGCCATCAAATTCCTAACCATAGACATCAAATTCGTAATCAGCGATCTCAAAAACTCCCGAAAAACAAATTTTAGGCAAAACCGATTGCTTTTTAAATTTTTAAGTCCGCCATTTTGGATCTACCATTTTGAATTTTGAGAATCTGACATCAAATTCGAAATCAGCGATCTCAAAAACCCCCAAATAACAAATTTTAGGCAAATCTGATTAATTTTTAATTTTTAAGTCCGCCATTTTGGATTCGCCATCTTGAATTTTGAAAAACTAACACCAAATTCGTCATCAGCGATCCCAAAAACCCCCAAATAACAAATTTGAGACAAATCCGATTAATTTTTAATTTCTAAGTCCGCCATTTTTGATTCGCCATTTTGAATTTTGAAAAACTAACACCAAATTCGTCATCAGCGATCCCAATAACCTTTTTATGGTGAGTTTGAACAAAAATTATACATTTTTTAAATTTTGGGCGCCATATTGGATTCGCCATCTTTAATTTTAGGAAATAATATGAAATTTTGTTAATTTATCATATAATTTAATGTTGTAGGCCCTGTAGCATTTTTAAAATTGGGTTTTTCTTCTTTTTTTAATATGAAAAAGAATTGTTCATAGTGTTTTTTGTCATTAAATTATATATAGTTTATTTGGAGATTAATATTTCAAAAAGGGCCCAACGGCATTGAAAAGCTGACATTTTTACCTTTAATTTGAGCTATTATAAAAGATTTTTGGATTAAATTTGAAATGGAGAGAAGGGGTGGCCCACTTGAGAAAGAATGCCTCATATATATATATATACATATATATATATATATATATACCTAATAACGACAGATTCCTCTTAGGTAATTTCAAAAAAACAACTAATATGTAAGACAGTTTCTCTTCTAGACAGTTTCAATAAACAAATGATTAAACGACAGTTCTTCTAAGAAAAATTTAAATGAACAACTGAAATACACGACAGTATACGATATGTGACGATGGTAATAAATATACTTAAATGACGAAATTAATTATTTTGAATAATTTTCAGTTACTGAATGAAACTCAGACATAATAATTGGTAGATTGGTAGATGAGCTGTTCGAAAGGTGTCCTAAGATTTACAGAAGTTACATATATCAAATTCGACAATGCTGAAATGTTCAGAATATTCAACTTGAGAAAGGATGGACTTGAAACGACTATATTTAAAATAAATTGAGAAACTTATAAATTATTTAAGCTTGAAATTTGTAAAATTGATAATTTTTATTTATATTGTAAACGAGTCAATCTCGGGAGGGAGTGTTGAAATATTGTATATTCGCGCCTAATATCTCGCTTGACTCTAACGTAGTTGATTCTACGTCACTACCGTGTGCGCACGCACTTCTTCTACTTCTCGATATCGCTTCGACCGTGAACGTCTCGATCGTCAACGAGCTCTTAATAAACGACTGATTTCATCCGTATTTGTGTGTTCTTATTGACTACATCCTGCTCTAAATAATCTGCATACCAACAGAAATTAACAAATCTCTAAATCAGAGATGTGAATTTATGGCGTTTTCTGGTATAAAGTTTGACAGAATCAAACACAACTTATCACAATAATTGTGACTATAATGTTTAATATAGATACACTTATATTTCATTGGACTTCAAATTAATATTATTTCAAGTTTATAGATTAATTTTTTTCCGTGTATCAATTAAATTTTGATAATGATTTTCAACTAATGGAAATGTATATTTGACATTATAATGTTTTTCAAATTCCTTTAATTCCTGGATCAAAGTGGTGGGGGTCAGTACTTGAGGGTGTACTATGCCATGTTTACCATCGTTTATGGCATCTATTAATGTATTGATGTCTTCACTTAATTCTGAGATAATTACTAAACAATTTGTTAGTTGTGAAGATATAAAAATACTTTTTGAATTGGTATTTGTTGAATTAATTACTGCGTTTATTTGATTATTAAGATCTTCTATTTTTGTGATGTCTAATGATGCCGAGTTTAATATTGACTTTATTATTCTAGTTTGATTATTTATGCTTTCTCCCATGACTTGATTATTTTTAAAAAGTTTATCTAGTTCAGTATCTATGTATTTTAAATCATCCTCGTCGAGAGTACCAAATAAAATTTTAGAAATATCTCCAACAAAATTAAAGATACCTTTTACTGGACGAGAATTTTCTAACAAACTTTTTAACATCTTTAAGCTGTTTTCTAATCTACTGATTCTATTTTTTATGACATTAATTTCGTGTTCCTGGATGCAATTTGTACATAAACGAGTGGTGGCTCTGTAGGTCAACACTAGTGAGTTAAAGCGCTCTTCAATATTAGATGTATCTATTCCAATAATAAGATTCCATGTTTGGGTATAAGTTCGAACAGTCCCCAGGTCTTCAGAGTAGATGGTGGTTCCTTGTAGAGACTCAAATTTTACTTCACAATATGAATTGATTGGTAGAAACACTAATAGTATTATGGACAACATCTGAAAGATTTTATATTTAGTTAAAGAAGGGCATTAGTTGATTGGAGTGGATTCTTTGTTGTTGGTTATTAAATTGTATAATGTAATTGTTATTGTTCAAATGTTCTATAACTGTGGCTGGTCCTCTCCAGGCTGGAGATAGTTTATTTTCTTTTGTATTATTAATAAATTTAACTAAGTCTCCCGGTTCGTAAATATTTTGTGGTAGAGCTATTCTAGAATCTTGTAATTTTTTGTATTTTTCCTTTTGGATTTGGATTTTTTCACGGGCTCGTTGCAAATATTTTTCATGTCTAGTCTTCCAAAGGTAAATTAACTCTTGATATTTTATACTGGGTGTAGTGGATAACATAGAAGGAATATTTGCATCTCTTCCAAATGTTAGTTGAAAAGGTGTCATCCCTGTCCCTTCATGTTTCATCGTATTGTATGCAAAAGTAATAATTTTTAGATTTAAATCCCATTCAGTATTATTTTCTGCCATACTAGTTTTTAATAAATCTTTAATGGTCGAATGTGCTCGTTCAAGTGCTCCATTACTTTGTGGATGATAAGTGGTTGTATTTATGTGTTCGATTCTAAATAGGTTTTCAAAATTTTGGATAAGTTCAGACACGAAGTTTTGGCCTTGATCTGTAAGGATATTATTCGGTGCGCCAAAAGTATAAATGTAATGGTCAAACAGGGCTTCTATAATTGATTCTGATTCAATATTTTTTAAAGGTATGAGTATTAAATATTTAGTAAGCATATCTTGGATACTAAGAATATATCCATTTCCAGAATATGTCAAGGGTAAAGGTCCGAATATGTCCATAGCTATTTTTTCGTTAGGATTCATAGGTGTGTCAGGAATTATTGCTTCTTCTTTTCTTTTTATTCGAGTAGTTTTTTGGATTTGACATATAGCGCACTTTTTGACAAAGTTAATTATTTCATCTTCCATGATTTCTATTCTCCAAGTGTTCTTGCTCTTTCAATAGATTTATTTTTACCGAAATGTTGTGCCATTATAGATCCGTGAGCTTCTTTAATTATTGTTTCTTTTTCACTTTGTGTTAATTCTGTCCTTGAATTGTAGCAACTAAATATTCCTAGCGTAGGATATTTGCTTCCTATGAAGGATAATAGTATTTTTAACCGAATTTTTTCACTGGGTGTGATGGTAGGATCATTAAAATGATATCTTACAATAGTCAACTTTTTACTAACTGTTTTGTTGGCTAGCATGTTTAGTATTGTTAACCACTCTCGTTCGTCAAATTTTGGAAGGACTGTAGTATTCAGGGTTTCAGTTGGTCTTTTTTGTAGTTGGTTCCATAACTTCCCGTGAGCATTAGGTTTCACTACTTCTCTTGAGGGGGTTTCATTTTGTGTCCATTTCATATATTCTTGATAAAGGTTTTTATCGAATTTAGATTTTGTTATATTTTCGTCTAACTTCTTAATAAGTGATTGCGGATTTTGTTGAATTTTTGGTAATGATAAATCTAAGGCTTGATCAGTTGTATTTTCTTGTATGGAAAAAATTCGCGATAAACAGTCTGCTACTTTATTTTCTTTACCTTTTATATATTCTATATCTTCATAGTTATATTCTTCTACTCTTAGTCTCCACCTAAGTAATCTTGATGAAGGATCTTTTATATTTTTTAACCATTTTAAGGCTTGATGGTCTGTTTGTATAATGAATGTCCTACCTAACAAATATTGTCTAAGCCTCCGTACAGCCCAAACAATTGCTAGTAATTCCTTTTCTGTTGTTGAATAATTTAATTCGGCCTTGTTTAATGTTCGAGATATGAAACAGCAAGGATGTCCATCTTGTGCTAAAACAGCTCCTAGACCTACATTTGAGGCATCGGTAGTTAGGACGAATTTTTTCGTGTAGTCAGGATATCTTAACACGGGCGTAGAACATAATGATGCTTTTAGAAGATTGAAAGCTTCGTTGCTCTTTTCTGTCCATTTGAAAGGAGTGTCCTTTTTTGTAAGTTCTGTAAGTGGTTTAGCTATTGTGGAAAAGTTTTTTATAAATTTCCTGTAATAACCGGCAAGTCCTAAAAATGATTGAGTTTCTGTTATGTTTCTTGGTGTTCTAAAATTTGTTATTGCTTCAATTTTAAATGGGTTTGGTTTCACACCTTCTGAAGTTATAAGATGTCCTAAAAATTCTAACTCAGGTCTCAAATACTCAGGTTGTAATTTTAGTCCAACTTCTCTTAATCTGTTGAATAGTTTAATCAAGTTGTCGTTATGTTCTTCCAAAGTATTGCCAAAAATGATTATATCATCTAAATATGTGACGCGATCTGAAGAAAGGGACCTTAGAAGCAAAAAATTATAGGTTATGTTTGCAATTTTCTAAATGAAAATACAATAAAAGGATCAACTGTCAATATAAATCATTGATGTTTAAGTCTTCATTAAAACTAAAATATTTAATAAACACTGATTTTAATTCGAAATAAGTAAAAAGAAACTTTCAAACAAGAAAAAAGTAACTCTAACCCAACCTTAAAATGATTTGCTTCTAAGGTCCCTTTCTTCAGATCGCGTCACATATACAAAGCATATTTTTCCATTTAATCCTTGTAGAGCATTATCCATCATGCGTTGAAAGGTAGCAGGTGAATTTGTTAGACCAAATGGCATTCCATTAAATTCAAAATGTCCTTCTGGTGTTGAAAAGGCAGTGTACTTTTTTGAATCTTCGGACATTGGAATTTGATGAAATCCGGAACTTAGATCGAAAGCGGAGAAGAATTTAGCATTTCCAAGGGATTCTAAAATATCCTCAATAATTGGAAGTGGATATGCATCTTGATCTGTTTCATCATTTAATTTACGAAAATCAATGACGATTCGCCATTTTTGTTTTCCCGAGGCGTCAACTTTTTTCGCAACGACCCATAATATGGGGAATTAAAAGACGAATTTGAATCACGTATAATTCCCTTTTTATAGAGTTCTCCAATTTGTGTCTTAACTTCTTCTTTATGACATGCAGGAGGTCTATATGATTTAATGTTAATAATTTTATTATTTTTAAGAACTATAGAGTGTTCTGTTAGATTTGTACAGGGTAATGCATCTCCTTCCAAAGTAAAAATGTCATTATAACTTGCGATAATTTTCCAAATGATATTTGTATTTAAATATTTAGTAAATTCTTCCACAGTTATTTAATAAATTAATTTTTTCGATTTTTGGAAGACGTATATAAAAGGTAAAAGAAAAACACTCTTTTACTTTTTTATAAAATAGACGACGTTTCGGTGGTCAGGTTCGCCACCATCATCAGGTCACTTTAATAGAAAAAATTTAAAAAAAAAAAAAAAAAATTAATACAACAAAATTTTGAAAATTTAAATTTAAACAAAAAATAAAAAACAATTTTTACCTAGTTAAAGTCAATAAATAAACATCACGTCAATAAATTAAAAACATAAATAAACGCAATACAACAAAAAAATAAAATATTTAAATTTACAAATCACAAACATATTAAAACGAGTGATTAGTCAAACTGACTGAGCCGGTGACAATTTTCGCGTTATATACAGTCGATGGGGTCAATGACCCGCAATCGAAATATTATGAATTATAACCATTATTTCAATTTATTAAGCAAAGGAAAATAGGAATTACTAAGAAACTGTATATCTTCCTTTTTGTTAATAGTAAAATTATTGCATTTAATATAAATCATCTCAGAAATTAATCGTTTTTTATAAGAAGTTTCATAATCTAAAATTTCTGCATCGTCAAAATTAAAAGAATGATTATATTCAGTTTGATGTTTGTTCACAACGGATTCGAGGTTTTTGTTTTTATGCTCGCTAATTCTTTTTTTCAAAGTACGCTTTGATTCACCAATATATGTTGCAGGGCAACTATTACAATTAAATTTATAAACAATATTATTCCGATCCCACTTTTTTGTCAAGTCCTTTCCTAATTTTATTACAGAGCTTAAGCTTTTTTCCACAATAGGAA